AGAGCTTGTCTCTGTCCGAGATTATCTCATCTGGTACTCCATGTATGCTTACTATAACCCTAAAGAATACATATGCTAGTTGCTTAGCAGTCTATGTTTCTTTGAATGGTATCATGTATGCAAATTTTGTCAATCTGTCTACTACGTTGAGTATTGCGTCGTACTCAACTCCTATAGTAGGGTCTTTCGAGAGTGGTAGTTTGACCACAAAGTCCCATGTAATGGACTTCCATGGCTGAGAAGGCATGTCTGGGGTCTGGAGCTGACCATACGGAGCGTGTCTAGAGGACTTATTCCGTATGCAGGTATCGCAATTTCCAACAACTTCTTCAACTATCGTTCTCATTCGTGGGAAGTAACTGATTTCCCGGATTCTTGCAAACGTCCTTGCAATTCCTTGATGTCCGTGTGCCGGCAACCCATGTTGTTCCGTCACAAATTCCTTGGTCATTTGACTCGGAATGTATACTTTCCCATGAAAGTATATGGTTTCGTTTTCTATTGTGAATCCTGGTTCTATTGCCTTGCGTATGCGTGTAGCTGTAGCATCCTTGTCGTAATGTGATTGGATTTGGTTTCTGAGATGGTTGTCTTCCAATATATGAGTAGCTGCAAGCTGTGGTGCATTGTAAACCAGTGATTCGCCTTCTTTCTTGAATATAGCGTACGATTCGTACGACTTATTTTCTTGATATCCTGGTTTTCGGCTAAGAGCGTCGGCTCTAGCGTTTTCTGATCCTTTGACATATGAAATCTTAAAATTGTAGTTGGCCATGGTTTCCGACCATCTGACCTGTCGTCTGTTTAACTGCTTCGTTGTGGTGAAGTAAACCAAGTTCTTATGATCCGTATACACCTGTACTGTGTATTTTGATCCTTCCAAATATACTCGCCATTCTCTAAATGCGTCGACTATCGCCAGTAATTCTTTGTCATATATTTCGTAGTTCAATTCGGCTGGTGATAGCTTTCGAGAGTAGAATGCGATTGGTTGCTATTTCTCATTTTGACCTGGTTGGCTCAACACTGCGCCTATAGCAAAATCTGAGGAGTCCGTTTCCACTATGATTTGCTTATCAGGATCGAATGTCAACAGTATTGGCTCCTCGGCCACTGCCTGTTTGAGCGTTTCGAAGGACTCCTGCGCCTTGGTGGTCCATTCGAAGCTTCCTTGATCTTTTCTGGTTAACGTGGTCAAGGGTGTAGTAATTCCTGAATAACCCTTGATAAATCTTCGGTAGAAGTTGACAAATCCCAAAAAGGATTGTACTTCCTTAATGGTGTTTGGCTGCTTCCATTCAAGCACTGCTTTGACCTTATCTTTGCTCATCTTGAGCCCTTGGCTTGATACGGTGAACCCTAAGAATTCTGTTTCCTTGACGTGGAATTCGCATTTGCTTGGTTTACATAGCAAATCTGCCTTGACTAAGCTTTCGAGGATGCTGCTGACATCCTTGATGTGTTGGCTCTCGTTGTTTGAATATACTAGGATGTCGTCCAAGTAGCATATACAACAAGTGTCTAAGTATGGTGACAACACATTGTTCATGAGTCTCATGAAAGTAGCTGGTGCGTTAGTTAGCCCGAACGGCATAACTTGGTACTCGTATAGCCCGTATCTTGTTTTGAAAGCGGTTTTCCATTCCTCGCCTTCCTTCATTCTGATCAAATGGTACCCGTTGCGCAGGTCCATCTTGGTGAATATGGTAGCTCCGCCTAATCGATCTCTTAATTCCGTAGCTAATGGAAGTGGATATCGATCCTTCTTGGTAAGCGTGTTGAGCTTTCTGTAGTCCACAACTAGTCTCTTAGTACCGTCCTTCTTGGGTACCCACATAGTTGGACTTGCCACTTGGGGACGTGGATTCCCTGATCCATCCCTTGGCCAAATTGTCATCGATATATTCCCTGAGCGTCTTCAGCTCATCGGCTGACATTGAATAAATTGGGGTGTGCACAGGCATCTTGCCTTCCTCCAATATTATTTCATGATCCCATGGCTTGTGTTCTGGCAAAGCCTCATGGATCCCTGGTTCCTTGAACACATGTTCGTATTTCTTGTACTGTTCTGGTATCATAGGCTCTTCTGCCTTGATTGCGATTTCCTGCCGTGTCGTTGGCTTCTGCATTTGTAGAGGAGGTGTACTGGCCTTCGCTCTTAATGGAGGACCCTGGACTGGGTGTCCTACGTCACCGAAGTTGTTCGCGTTCAACTCCCCTTGGCGCGTGTTACGTCTCGCGGACGCCTCTAGCGTGTCTCCTTGACCACATTTGCACTGATCAAAGGTCACTGTCTCTTGTGACCAATCTATCCTAGGATTGTGTGCCTTCAACCATGGCATTCCTAGGATGATTTGTTGTTGGCCCAATGGCACAACGTCAAGCTGTATAACCTCTGAATGTTGGTTTATGTTCATTTGTACTGGTCGTGTCTCCTGTGAAACGTTCCCGTCCAATCCTGCTAGCTGGCCATCAACTAACTGCAATTGATATGGTTTCTGTTTCTTCTGAAGTGGAACTTTCAAGTACTTTGCAGCTTCTGGTGCAATAAAGTTTCCTGTAGCCCCTGAATCTATCATGGCTTGCTGTATTTGTCCGTTTATTTTGACCTTGCAGTATATCTGTCCTGCTTGTCCTGTAGCATTCAATTGCTGGGTAACTTGTTTTTTGTCTGTTTCGTTGGATTGTTGGTTTCTTGTCTTTCTTTTCTTGGGGAACCATCCGGTTGCTTCTTTATCTGATCGATGGATTCCGCAGAATTCATCATAGCAAGCAGTCCAGCTCATCATCGCGTGATCTGCTGGTATCTCTTCCTTAATACATTCTTCCGTTACCGATGGTGATGGGGTTCGGTAGTACTCCTGTTCCCACAAGTCTACTGCATTCATACCCTCTTGGTTTCGCGGTAACTCGTCCAATAATTTCCGGAATTCTTCACTGGTGAAGGTCTCAGTTTCTTCGGTCTTAGCTGGATGTTCTTGGGATACAAAGGTAGCGTTAAGTTGGCCTTTGCCGAACTTGGGTTTGAAGTTGCCTTTCTTTCCTCCTGTCTTCTTACTTCGGCAATCCGCTGCCCGGTGCCCTGCTTTTCCACATTCAAAGCATAAGTTGTTTTCTCGTCTTCGTTTCTTTTCCGGATCATCATTCCCACCTTTGTGGTGCGTAGCGTCGAGTTCCATAGGGTCTCCATATCTCTGTGGATTGTAACGTGGTCTTCCCTCATTCTTGCGGTAACGCTCTTGCTTTTGATTTCCCTGGGGTTTGTATGATCTTTGACTTTGTCGATATCGGTAAAGACGATCATCTGATTCGATGGAGTCCTGGATTAGGTCGTTCAAGTCTACACTCTCGGCAGATCTTTCTAACTCCAGTCTGACTTCTGGTTTGAGTCCTTTACGATAGTGACTCATAATGGCGGTTTCGTCCCACTTGGTTGTTCCAGCATATCTTCGAAATTCCGTAGCATACTTCAATGCTGATCCTGTCTGCTTGAGGTTGAAGATCTTATCTTCCGCTACCTCTAGCTCATTGGAGTTCCCGAAGATTCTACGAATCTCTGTCTTAAATCCTTCAAAACTGTTGAAGATTGTTCGAGTGGGTTGCACGCGATCCTGGTCGTCATGCTCGAAATAGTCGCGCAGGTATGGCTGAATCCATTTGCCTGCCTCGCCTCTGAGGTATGACACGGCCCAAATACTCTTAGATTCCTTTTCGGTGAACTTGTCTTGGTTGAATCTAAAATAGATTTCGAGTTGTAATAGGAAGGTGTCGAGTTCCTGTCGACTTCCTTGGTACTTGTCTGGTAAGGCAATCTTGAGTGTTTCGTTGATGGTGATCTCCTTGGGAGCATCAGTCATTTCGACATCATCGAAGTTGCTTGCTGGGGCCTGTTGGCTTCTGGAAGAACTGTTGGCTGCCATACTGGCGGTTGGTATTGAATCGGTACTTGAAGCAGAAAGGGTGCTCAAAGTGTTACGGGAGCTGCCTCTAGGGTCACGTGGAAGTGGCTAGAGATCTCTCGAGGTGGTTTAGACTAAACTTCAAGTAGGAATTCAATAAGGTTGGTAACTGGTTGCAATTCTCGTAACTATAGTAATGGAACTAATGATTGTTCTTGAGCACGAAGCTCCATATTATAATGAAACTCATTCTGTTATATAGACCTTCGTCCTCTGGAGCCCCTGGGATCCGTATGCTCCTGGAGCCCGTAGCTCCCCAAGGCTCCCTCACGTGACACGCGAATGTGTCATGTGATGTCTGTCGTAACATATATATATTATATTAGTACGTGTACTACTTTAAAAACATATTAAAATCAAACTTTTCTTAATATTTATATTTTAATAATTAATTATTTTTTCTTTTTAAAAAAAAAGAATATTTAATAATAATAAAAATTAAAAATTAAAAATTCTAAAATCTAATTTTTATTTAAATATTCTTATTATATTCTAAAAAAAGTTAAAATTATTACGATTTTCATTACAAATTTTTTTTATATAATAATTATTATAATAATTCGAATTTTCAATTTATTATTACAAATAAATATTATTTATATATTTTAATATTATATATTCGATTTTCAGAAAATTCTATTTATAAATAAAAAAAGTATACGATTACGTATAAACGAATTTTATATATAAAAAGAATAGTATATATACTAATGTAGTCTAAACTACGTTATATTAGATCTTAATATATAGAGTTCTAAATCATATTAATTCTTTTATTGTTGTTAGCTGCTTACTAATAACGGATTTTTTTCGAACCCATCAGGGATGGGGGGACGTATTTCTCCTCCTTCGGGAGGCTCCTGCCTCGAAATCAAGGCCTTAAGCCTATTTCTATTATGTAATCACCGTGGGTCTGGGGATGAGATAAGCATTAGCTTCACCCACAGATTTGGCATCAACTCGGTTCCACCACCCCTTAACTCCGCCATAAAGGTAAGGCTAGGTCAGCAAGCTCTTTCTCTTCGCAAAATTTCATCAATCATGTTTATAACTTCACTTGCTTTACTTTCAAGCTGTTCTACTACTAAGCCAATACCGCCGCAATCCGGAAATATGAATGCAATGTCATGTGTTGAGGTACCACGAATTGAAATTCGGCCTATGAGGCAAAGGTTACAGATTCAGAATCTGGAGGAAGATTGGACGGGCACTAGTAGTACAGTTCTTAGGAGGAAATTGCAGAATCGGTTGAACCAACGAGCTTCTCGTTTGTACCCTTAATCTTCTTATCACCCAATTGACCGTGTTCATTAATCTCTATTTTAGGACAACGCAGAAAAGTCGACTCGAAAAGACTCGAAGCGATAACAAAAGTCATAGAGACACAAGGGCCCATAATCCTTGATCCTACCACACCTCCTCCAAAAGAATATATGTGTATCAATCACGTAGACGTCAAACGCATTGTCACTTCTACATCATTCAATTCCTATATTACCGATACTTCTATCCCAGCAGACTCCTACTTACTTACTCTTCTTCATTTCAATATCATCCGTGCTTTATCTGTGAATGTGGAAATCCTTAAAATACCTGTTGATCGTATGGATGATAATATTCTTTCTCCATTCAACACATTACCATCGACACAATATCCACAGGGTATTCCAGATCTATCAAATCTTCCGCTGGCGCTGAAACCCACGAGTCTACAATTCGAAATAGAACATCATCCGGAAATTGATGTTTTTCCATTTCCGGGATGTAGAGATCTCATTCTTTTGGCGCTTTCAAGAGGTGATGAATGGGATGATATCGAGTTTTGTAGGGATATTATGTATGGGTTAGAGGGTGGAGGCGGAAGAACGGGATTTATTGTTTGGGGTGATCCGTGGATACCGGGAAGTTGGGAGGTGGAGGAAAATTTTGCGAGAAAGTGGAAGTGGTTGTTAGAGGGGTGTGAGGAGTTGTTTGTGAGTACTAATATATGGAGGGATAGAAGAGGTGAGGAGAGACTAGTTTTTGAGGAATTGTCTTGAGGTTCTGGAATATAAAAAGGGGGATATAGCCTACAGCAAGGGTTGAAGGAGACGGGTAAAGAGATGAAGGGAGAAAGGAATGAACTTAAACATATATCCAATATCTGAAGCTCAGATCAAACTTCGAAAGCTGCAGGTGGTCTACCTAAGCATTCTTGTGTTTGGATATAGCTAATCTTACTGAGATTTCTAGATACATCGACCTGAAATTTCTGATGTGGATATTCTAGCTACATGAAGTCCTAGCTCTAATTGTGGCAGAAGCGACAGAGCATAGACAGAGGAAAAAACCTCAAAGTGGCTACCTTCTGTGGTCTTTCAACTTCGAGTCCACTTTTTGAGAGTTGTCCCACAGTACCTTGAGATCACGATGACCAAGCAAGGGGACAGCATCAATCTCATACTCTTCGAAATGAAATGAACATACCCGGCTTTTACAATCCAAGAAGTCACAAATTTGAACAATCCATATTGCCATACGCTCTTCTTCACGGGATGTTGACGGATCTGAAGCCTGCAACCGATCGATAAGAATCGATTGAATAGGTGGAGGTGAAGTCAATAATTCTAATGACCTATTGGTCAAGAGCTAGTGGTGTATTGTTGAACTGGATGGAAATGGCCATTTTCCAGTTCCAAGAGCGTTCATGACCTGTTGCTACAAATATTTCCCCTGACCATCAACAGAGCGCATGGTGCCATAGCCATGAGCCTCAACCCAGGTTTCCGAATGATTCAACGTCTTGTTATTCATTGTGCTGCATTCATGCCATACAGAGGATTTGCAGTAAGAAGACGGATCAGAATGCCAGTCATGTTGAAAGATTGAAGAAATCGATTTGCTGGAAGAGAAATTATATGGTAGAGTGATGAGTCTACCCTTGCTGGTTTATCGAATTTCTCCACTAGACACCCGAATTGGGTCAGAATAATTATCGTGAGGGCACCAAAACTAACGGGCAAATCGGAGTCGTTAAGGTAATCAATATTTCCTCTATCGTGAAGGAGTATAATTCTCGAGATGACAGTTGGTTGGATATTTTGACTAGGCTTGCACCCTCTTAATTGAAACTGCTGTTCATAAGTTGTGAACCATAAAGGTATTCAGTTTAGACACAAAAACATCCACACGCATACATGTAGGCGCCCCTGGATTGTGTTATAAGGTCACTCTCGCTTCTAGATGACGTTGAAAAAGCGTATTCGCGTTTCAATGAACATGATTGGGCGATTTAAAAGCATGTTTGGATATGAGCCATGCATGGACTAAATTAGCCCTTTGCCTCACGATGTCACGTTGAGGTCCGGAGGTAGGTGGCATAGCGGACAAGAAGAGGAATCCAAGCACGAAAAATCTACTTTAGTAACCCAGATCACAATTTCGAATTCGAATGTGATACTTCTATGTAATTACCAAACATAAGTTCTCTTGAATATAATTAGCTTTTTACGTCAAAGGTCGAGAAGATATTCATCAATGTCAAGATCCCAAGTCCTTGGGATGAGGTCACCATGGTTGCGCATACGATGACGCTCTCATATTGAACTCCCGCTCTATGTTACATCGATCATTCAGGCTGGCTTCAGCTTCACTGTACAAAACATACCAATAGATCATGTTTACCGTTCTCGGATCGAAAAGAAGAATCAAGTGGTCTTTCACGGAAGATTCAACAAAGCTGTCAGAATCGACATCTTTCATGATTTCCGTTCTGGAACATATCTCGGATTGAAGGACAGTCTTTAAGTCTTGGAGAGTCTTTGTGATTTTGTTGTCAGTTATTGTCTTGTCCGTTGTCTCTAAGAAAAGGAGGGGGATAGTGCGACTTTTAATGGAGATTTTGCGCGTGTTTGTTGCTTGGGGGTTAAATGTGGAGGATAAATGGAGTGGAGGCAGATATTGGAGTCTAATTGTGATTGGGACCTTGGATTTTTCGGGGGTGTATTTCGAACGAGGTATTGAGAATGTTGTTCATTCGACAAGAACTGTGTTCAAGGACTGTATATGCGAATATCAATGGTCAACTCAGTAATGTCATTCGCATCAATCAACAACTGCAACGTAATTGATCTCACCACATTCCGCATTTCGCATTTCGCATTTCCCTCAACCCCCCCAAAGCGACGGCCATCAATTATGAGCTTTCCCAGACCTGTTAATCATCCAATCAGCAACTATCTTAACAAAGCAGTCGAGTCAGAAAAATCGCAGCAGAGTAGCCAAATGTAACCTAATGGTAAAAAACACTGCATGACATATGTATCCCGAACAAGGATTCCATTTAGCCTATCTCGTACGATACCTTTTTGGCGTCACACAACCGCACTTCTTGCGATTTCCGGTGTAGCATATGTGAGCTGAGCTGAAGTGAAAATATGATGTTCTACAGAATTTTGGAAGCTATGTGGTGTGGAAGGTATGAAGGCGTGTCGACCTGGAACTCTATTTACTGTGTTTATTGGTTTCACTAGTCAGTTCCATATAGAGATACATCTTCTCCATAGTCTTGATATGATAGTCATTACAATGCAAGCCTCCGTATACCTGCAATATCTTCTTACAAGGTTATTTCTTGAATGATAATGCTCTATGAGACATTAGACAGATGAGAATAATTCATATCGCTATTTAGTCAATTGAATAAGTCATTGATAAATGGTTAACTCGAGATCTCAACCCCTGATAACGACAAGCGAGCTGGAGAAAAGGAGAACATGTTCACACGAAACAGGATTCCACACTAATTATATCCTCATTCATTTACGGTATATTCTAACCACATCTCTAGAATTATATCCCCAAAAACATACACTTGATCCGCAGCACTAAATTGACTTTCGTGAACGATTCCTTCTGACTCAATCCTGAGGTACTTGTGCTGACTCTATCTATATCATACTAACAACCCATCTTCGCTTGCTAGTGCTTGTTTCCATCCTATCTTTGTTTTCTTAACGTCTCATAAACAGCAGAGAAGGCGAATCGACCCAGCTTCCGCAAATATACTTCAATAGCAAGCTATTGAACATCAATCTGATATTCACTTGAGATTTTCCGAATCTGTTTAGATATCTATCTCCCTTTTATCCATTAATCTTAGACGAGAGAAGGAATCTCTCAGCCTAGCTTTCGGACTCAGTGGTAATCTTTATTCTAGAATCTGAGGTGCGGATTCCGCGTACTATAATAAGATCTTACATGCTCGAATATTAACTTTACATCGTGAATTAGACCATCCGATCATCTCTTTTGTATTGACCGATGAAGTGAATATGATTGTTTCGTTACATGAGCATACTACAGCATATAAGCATTCAATACTGAAAAGTCTCGACGAATAATACCATACAGAATGATACAACTATGCTAGACACATTATGAAGAATCCATAGCCACCTTCGAGGCAATACCAACACCACTCTATTCAACCTCCCTCTTCTCATGAAACTTCATTTTCACAATTCTAATCACACCCAAGAAGACTAAAGGCATATCAAAAGAGAAAGAAATCTTCACTAGAAAAACTCTCGCCTTTTCTTCTCCACATTATTTCACCCACCTGCCACACACAATACGTCTCTCTAACTTCTCAAATCTGCCACTGAGAAACATCCCCAATCGAATGACTCACTAATTTCTGAATATTGTCCTGAGCCTAAAGATCTTCCAAATCTATCCTTCTTTTTATTCCCATGCTACTCCACTCATACATACATATTCTGGGGGTTTGACTTCTTAGACGTGGCTTATTTCGTGGGGATTTGATACGCATAATTAGTACATAGATACATACTTGGTGCATACCAATCAGTATACATAAACATCACACATCAATGGTATTTTGACATCCATCATCCAAAGTATATCTCTCGTGTCTCACTGCACTGGCAAGTTGCACACATTATCAATCCCATCAATCAATCATCTAATCAAGTAAGTCGCTCGCTGTCTGATTAAACCATCCCGGAATCTCTCCTCGCTTATTTCACACTGTCGATAGTAGCACAAAGTATACAGTATTCAGCACACATACCTAGGTACATACATACATACATACATACTTCGCGTGCGTGCATATGTGCAAACTCCGCTCCCATACATCCAACGCATGAAAACCCTTTCGTCATATTCTCCACCTCTTCTCTATCATTCTAAACCCTAATCCCCGTATCCCACCTATCTATGTATCTATCTCTCATGAATTTTTCTCCATAAACTCCACTCAGTACATCCCCACCCATTCACTCACCAAACCATCCAGCCTTACTTCTCCTCAAATTCCCTGTCATTCAAAAAACCCCCATCCAAATTCGACATTCCAGACTCCAAAGGAATCCACACATATATACCTCAGGCCCACACAGATCACTCTACGTCCTCGCCCCCAATCCTACACACAAAAGAAAAAGCAGAAGGAAAAAAAAAAGTAAGCACTCCGTTAAAAACATCCATTTTCTCCACCCCCATGGGCATCTTGATCGAGAATTCACATTTGGATCGAAATTCGCACAGACGGTTTGGAGGGACAACTAATGATCTGCATACATGGATTTTCTATTTTTCTTGAATCTTGATGTGTTTCATATCCTTTTTTAGATATACTTTTTTTGATTAAGTTTTTTGACTTTGAGGGATTACTTAGATAAATGGGGGTTTGACATCATATCACTTCACATCACTTCATTACACACTTCACTTCACCCCATCTCAAACCTCATTCAAACCTCCCAACCGTAACCTATCCCAAGCTAAACTAACCCCATCCCATGCCTTCTAAGTCTAACTTACTCTCCGTGAAATCCCCTATCGAATGAATCTCCTCCCTTCCTAGCCTCATCACAATATCATAACTCCTGCATTCCATATAAATCCATCCATCCCGAAGGAGGTGTTACACCTAGGCGAATTGCGAATCTGTTCTCCGTTCATCTGCTTCATCGTGTTGTGCATGAATACCTACCGGAATGAACATGGAAAATTTGAATCTCACACCGCTGTTTCACAATCTGGTATACAAGTTTATGAAATTCCATGATGGATTGATTGCTGAGGTGACTCGGGTGAGCGAGTACCGGGTATGTCATACTTGTTCTATCTTGTATGCATGGAGTAATTATCAGGTGAATGAATAAAACACAGCAATATGATGGATTGATGGATAGATGGGCAGATAAGATAAGATAAAGATAAGATGAGATGATGTTCTCTATGGATATAAAGTACAATTAATCAATTAATATTTGGGTAGTAAAGAGAAGAAATAAATTTCTTTCTTTATATAAGAAATGAAATAACGATTTTTACTTAGATATAATATAATCTTAAGTAATACTATAGAGAGTAAGTATAGTAGTAGATAGTATGTAGTGGAATAGAAAGACTACATCAATACTGTAATCTAAAATCTATAATCCTCTCTTCAAGAGACAAAGAAAAGGAATCGATGTAGCTAAGATTCTTCAATTTTCTTATTCTTCACTCTTCCTTCTTTTCTCCCTATACATAGTACTACCTATTCATACAAACTACACCAATCACCCCTCCATCTATCTCAACTCCCCCTTCAAACTCTTCATCTCCTCTTCATACTAATTCCTTTTTCTTAACCTTTTATTCTAAATAGGTAAACTTTGTATGTCTCAA